CCTTAGCCGGTTGAGCTATAGGCGCCGAGCCATCTCATTTGGTCCTTATAAAACAGCTCAGCAAGATAGGGACTAGTACTGATCTCTCCCCATTTACAGATTTGCAAACTGAGACTCTGGAAGGTTCAACTACCTTCACAAGGTCATGTTACTCGGAAGTGGCTACCCTGGTTGCAAGTGCAGGCCTGGAGTTAAGACCTGAGTAAGACCTCATCTCTAAAAATAGTCGGGTGTTGTGGAGGGCATCTATAGTCCCAGCTACTTGGGAGGCTGAGGCAAGAGAATCACTCAAGCCCAGGAGTTTGAGGTTTCTGTGAGCTGTGACACTATAGCACTCTACCAAGGGCGAGAAAGTAAGACTGTCTCAAAAAAAAAAAAAAAAGACGTGGTCTCTTGCGAGGCGTGGTGGCTCAGGCCTGTTATCCCAGCACTCTAGGAGGCCTAGGCAGGCAGATCATCTGAGCTCAAAAGTTCGAGACCAGCCTGAGTCAGAGCAAGACCCCATCTCTAAATATAGCTGGGCATTGTGGCAGCCTATAGTCCCAGCAACTCAGGAGGCTGAGGCAAGAGAATTGCTTAGCTGGAGAGTCTGAGGTTGCTGTGAGCTGTGACACTGTAGCACTCTACAGGGAGCAACAAAGAAACTCTGTCTCAAAAAAATAAATAAATAGATAAAAACCTGGTCTCTGGCTCGGGGCCTGTGGCTCAAGCGGCTAAGGTGCCAGCCACATACACCTGAGCTGGCAGTTCAAATCTAGCCCAGGCCCACCAAACAACAATGACAGCTGCAACCAAAAAAAAAAAAAAAAAATAGCCAGGCGTTCCAGCGGGCACCTGTAGTCCCAGCTACTTGGGAGGCAGAGGCAAGAGAATCACATGAGCCCAGGAGTTGGAGGTTGCTGTGAGCTGTGATGCCACAGTACTCTACCCAGGGGAATAGCTTGAGGCTCTGTCTCAAAAAACAAAACAAAACAAAAACCTGGTCTCTTAGCTGCAAAGTTCTATGTTATGTGCCCAGTCTCTGAAAAGCGCTGATGGTATTATTATTATTATTATTTTGACACAGAGTTGTCACCTTGGGTAGTGCGGGGGTGTCATACTTCACAGTAGAAACAAGGTCTCGCTTTTTCTCAGGCTGATCTCAAACTCGTGAGCTCAAGCAATCCACCCACCTCAGCCTCCCAGAGTGCTAGGATTCAGGCATGAGCCACCAGCACTGACAGTACTTTTTTTTTTTAGAGACAGAGTCTCACTTTGTCACCCTTGGTAGAGTGTAGTGGCGTCACAGCTCACAGCAACCTCTAACTCCTGGGCTTAGGCGATTCCCTTGCCCCAGCCTCCTGAGTAGCTGGTACTACAGGCGCCTGCCACATGCCTATTTTTTGTTGCAGTTTGGCTGGGGCTGGGTTTGAACTCACTACCCTTGGTATATGGGGCCAGCACCCTACCCACTGAGCCACAGGAGCCACCCAGCATTGACAGTATTAATAACCACTTACTGCATGCCCCACCCACACCATCTTAACTCGGGCTGTCTCTCCATACCCCTGTGAAATCAGGGGTATTGTTCTCAAGGGACACCCAGGAAGTTAAAGTATAATGGGGTGAAAGGATTTGTCCAAGGTCCCTAGCTAGAAAAAAGCAGCAGGACTTGAACCCAGGTACAAACTCCACACTCAGGCTGTAACCACTGTGTCTCCCACAAAGATTCAGTAGCATCTAAGAGTCCAGTTTGGATTCCTATCCCAACAGGGCCACGAGGTCAGGGTCTCTTGATCCCTAGCACTTTGTGTAATGCTGCAGTTCTGCTGGGTGCTCCCCTATTAACAAGGGGAGTGAGGAGAAGTTTCTGCAGTGAGAGCAAACCTGCAGAACATGCATCCTGACTCCAGAACCACACACAGAACTCATGCCAAGGGCAGCAAGATCACAGACTAGTGTTCTAGAGAGGGGAAAGTCTGCAACCTTGGCTGGACTGCAGAGCAGGGGCAGCTCCTGGGACCAATGTTGCCCTAGACCAGCCCTCCACGCCTTACAGCCCAGAGTCCCAGCTGTGGCAGCTGTCCTCCCTCCTCCAAAACCACTCTTGCTTCAGTGTCCCCATCTACAGGGTGCAGGATGGCCATAATTTAGAAACAAAAGTATGTTGCTATCACTAAGCCATTTATACGTATCTCCTCAATTTCCAGGCTTGAGGGGTACCCTATTTAAGTGCCCCTTCATGGGGACGGACGTGGTGAAAGAACCTGCTCATTAAGAAATGTCAAGTTAGGGCAGTGCCTATGGCTCAGTGGGTAGGTCACCGGCACCACATACGGAGGGTGGTGGGTTCAACCCGGCCCCAACCAAACTGCAACAAAAAATTGGTTGGGTTTTTTGGGGGTGCCTATAGTCCCAGCTACTTGGGAGGCTGAGGCAAGAGAATTGCCTAAGCCCAGGAGTTAGAGGTTGCTGTGAGCTGTGTGACGCCACAGCACCCTATCAAGGGCGACAAAGTTAAACTCTGTCTCTGCTAAAAAAAAAAGAAAAAGAAAAATGTCAAGTTAAAGGCCAGCTGCAGTGGCTCACACCTGTAATCCTGGCACTCTGGGAGGCCAAGGCAGGTGGATCACTTGAGCTCAGGAGTTCGAGACCAGCCTGAGCAAGAGTAGGAGACCCCCATCTCTCAATAATAGCTGGGCGTGGGTGGCGCCTGTGGCTCAGTGAGTAGGGCGCCAGCCCCATATAGTGAGGGTGGCAGGTCTGAATCTGACCCCGGCCAAACTGCAACAAAAAATGACCAGATGTTGTGGTGGGCACCTGTGATCCCAGCTACTTGGGAGGCTGAGGCAAGAGAATTGCCTAAGCCCAAGAGCTGGATGTTGCTGTGAGCTGTAATGCTATAGTACTCTACAGAGGGCAACAAAGTGAGACTCTGTCTCTCAAAAAAACAAAATTAATAATAATAATAATAATAGTAGTCCCTGCCTGTAGTCCCAGCTACTCAGGAAGCTGAGACAAGAGGATCTGCTGAGTCCAAGAGTTTGAGGTTGCTATGGATGCCATAACACTCTACCAAGGGCAAAAAAAAAAAGTCAAGTTAAGACAGCCCTTATGACACTGGTACCCCAGAGAGGCTCAAAAAAGTGAAATACTTGGAATACAACTGTATGTAAAATCAGATGATGGGGCATGTGGGAGCATTTCTCCTGGAGACCAGCCTGGTGTAACCATAGGTAACAGAGCTGTGGCATTAGAAGGGCTCTAGACTCCACATGGTAGGATTCTAACTACAAACCCTGCAGAGGGAGAAACAAGCTTAGAAGCAGGTTTTCAAGCCAGGCCTGGGGACCTTGAGAGGTGTTAAGAAGTGGTTGCTGTAGCAATTTTTTTTCCTTTTTGCAGTTTTTGGTAGAGGCTGGGTTTGAACCCACCACCTCTGGCATATGGGGCCGGCACCCCACTCCTTTGAGCCACAGGCACCGCTCCACAATTTTTTTTTGGAGACAGAGTCTCAAGCTGTCACCCTGGGTAGAGTGCCATACCATCATAGCTCATAGCAACTTCCAACTCAGGCTCAAGCAATCCTCTTGCCTCAGTTTTTGTTTTTAGTAGAAAAGAGGGCTTCACTTTTGCTCAGGCTGGTCTTGAGCTCAAGCAATCCACCTGCCCTGGCCTCCTAGAGTGCTAGGATTATAGGTGTGAGCCACAGTGACCAGCCAGCAATTGTTTTTAAAAGATTAAATATAGGACCTATATATCAGAACTTGAAGGCACTTATTAGCAATTGGTCCTGAGCACTTGTTAAGACTGACAGTAAGCTGGGTGTAGTTGAGCTCAGGAGTCCGAGAGCAGCCCAACTAAGAGCGAGACGTTGTGGTAGGTACCCAGCTACTTGGGAGGCAGAGGCAAGAAATCACTTGAGCCCAGGAGTTTGAGGTTGCTGTGAGCTAGGCTGAAGCCAGAGTACTCTAGCCTGGGCAATAGAATGAGACTGAAAACAAAAGTGAATGTAAAAACCACCCACACTTTTAATCCTCATAGTGAACACTGATTACTGTGGAATCTACGTCAAGGCACTAATGCACTAAGGCTCTTTTTTGCATTAACTCACTAAGTCCTCACAATCACCCCTTCATTAGTATTCTTGCTTCCATGTCACAGAGGAAGAAAGTGAAGGTCCATACCTTCCTAGGGTTACATAGCCACTGTTCTAGGCCTAAGCACCTGGATACCAGGCCACACTGTCCCCTGCAAGGTGAAGATACAGACTCCTCTTTGATGGACAAATTCAGAGAAGGAATTGATTTGCACAAGGTCACAGGGTTGATAGATGCTTAAACATTAATGACAATTATAGCAGCTAAAATTTATGATGCTTGCCGCATGCCAGGCATTATTCTACGGTTCAATCTGCATTAATTTTGGATCTTCACAAGCACCCTATGACACCCTGCATTCTATAGATGAGAAAACTGAGGAACTCAGCTGTTCTAGGGAACAGGCTCAAGATGACATCAGCAAGGATCTCTGGCATTTTTGGAGGACATTCACCAATTTAGAATCATAGGGCATATGACCCTTTTATAAAATAAAATGGAACCTTTGCCTTGTGAAAAGAAAAAGACACAGACAGGTAGTCTCGCCTGGCAATAAATATTTTAATTTTTCTTGCTTCATTTTTATGATGACAAATAATTTTCAAGTTTATTTCCTTTGTTTGTTTGTTTAAATACAAAGCTAAACCACAAACAGGTACAATCAAGACATTTTTATCTCACATTTACACACTCCTGTTGATCCTCCTCCAATTTGCTGACCGCTGACCAGGCTGACTAGGGTGGGGGGAAGACTTTCTTAGGTAGCACCGTCGTGAGGCCTGGGGTGGGGGATGAATCAAGGATGAGGACAGGTTCTCATACCTGTCTCCATTCACATTTACCTGGGACCAGAGTGAGCCAGAGACCCTAGCCCACTGGACTGAAGGGACAGTATGTGAGAAGCGGTCCTACTTAAGGAGGGAGGAGGAAGCTACCCACTCCTGCCATCACAGTTGAGGTGAAAACTTCAGCCATATCCTTGATCCCTAGGGGCTGCTGGGCCCTGCCCCCTCCCCTGCACACCTGGGCACCTTTCTCTGAGGCAGGCACTGGTGGCTGGGGCAGGGGTCCTCACACTCCAATTCATGGCTACATCTTCACAGGAAGGACACTGGGTGGTCTGACAAAACAGAAGGCCTTGACAGCAGGTCTGGAACTTTCAACCCAGCAAAATCAGGTGAGTAGGGTAGGGATGGGATGTCAGGTAAGTAATTTCTGGTCCCACTACAAAACTTTATTTCTGATTTAGAATAGAGTACCATCTCAAATCTCTTCTACAAAAACAAAAACACCCCCCCCCCCAATATAACGCAGCCACTTCACTCACTTCAATACCTATATACATGTAAGTTGTTTTCTGTGGTTTTTTTTTTCTTTTTTAAATTTTTTTGGTTTCTTTTTGATTTTTTTATTATTATTTTTTTAAAATAAATTCAGTGTTCACATTTCTATAAAGAATTAACCCAGTTTCAGGAAACCCTGCCCTGGCAAGGTAGGTAAGCAATGCTTTCCCTGCCCACATCTGGTTTGATTTCCTGCCCTGATGCTTCAAGGTGCCCAGAAAAGCGGCAGCCTCTGGAAGAGTAAATCTATGCCTGGCCCGTGCTCCCAGGCCATGGGGTCAGTAAGCTTTCAAGAAAGCAGAGGGGAAGACTAGCTTACTGTGAAACCTTTTTAAAAAATATTCATACACTTCAATGTGTGCCTGACGAGATATCAGGAGAACAAGAGCTTGAAAACATCTCGTCCAGGCTTCGGGAGGCAGCGTCTTCCTCACACCCACCCCGTCCCTAGACGTTGGGAGTGTGGGGACAAAGTCCCAGCTCTTCCACTGGAGGCAGGAGACTTGCCCAGCTTCCTAGTTCATGTTTGACTCTTTCCTCTAAAACCTGTGCTGAGTCTTTGACTGCACGCACGGGAAGCACAAACGTTCGACTTGTATGCAAAAAAAGTACAAAAACAACTAGAATATAAAAGTTTTGGTAATATAAGGCCATCTGTTCAAGTCCACCTTGGAAACCTGTAACAGATATTTAAATACTACAGTGAAAAGGCATCTTAATATACTTTTTAAAAACATCTGAAGTCATCTGCTAAGATTAAGTGTGTAAAAAAAAAATCAATTCCCTTTGAGGGCACTTTGTCCTTTGAAGAAGAAGGGGTGAGGCAAGGAGGGCGACGGGCCAGCCAGCTAATGCTTCAGCCACGGGTAGGCTTCGATGGAAGCCTTGCTGCGGTCGCCATAGTCATACAAGAGCTCCTCCCCAGCCTCGATGTCTCGGGAGGCAATGAGGATGAGGTGAGGTACGCCGTCGATGTCATGCAGTTTGGTTTGGCAATTCCCACATTTGCTGTGATTAATCAGCCTTCCCAGGCGGTTTGTCTCTCTAGTTGCATCCACACTGGTGGGGAGGGAGGGCAAGAGCAAATTAAATTGATAAGAAGCCTTTTAACCCAGTCAGTGTTAGGCTCATTCTCAACTCTAGGGAAATGTCGATTTATAGCCATGTTTTGGGGAAAGAGATTCAATTCAAAAAGCTATTTTCTTTTTTTTTTTTTTTT